TTTTTCCAGAAGTCCCCTTCCCTCTTCCCTCTTCCTGTATTCCCCCTTTCTCTGCACACACCCTCGGAGACGTTCTTCTTCACTGTTTGTTTACGTTTTCTATTTAGAGAGAACAACAACAACAACAACAATAATAATAAGAATGTTTACTTAGGTAAAAGTTCATACTTAATAAGTTACAAAGAGTTAATGAGTTAATAATAAGTTATTATTTGATGTTAGGAGTTGAAGAGTCCTTACGGAACCTTGGCTGCGTCAGGCAGTGTGTCGTTGTATTGGTGGTTCCTTAGTTGCTGCAAGTTGTTCATCTGAACATGAGGGAATGTGTAATTGGTAGTGTTGAACACACGTGTACCGGACAGGTCACGGGGGGTGTTACTGGGGGCGGAGGTCCACCAAGAATATGATCCCATTTTCGTCACAGTTGTGTGTAGTTGGCTGGTGATGGCCTGGTTGCTGGAGGCCTGGTGGAGGACCGGGCCGCGGGGACGCTAAGCCCCGAAATCATCTCAAGATAACCTGAAGATGGTGTAGTTGTGGTCGACCGCCTCCACCACTCTCCCCCTCCTTAATGGTCACCTCATCTCTCCTGTATCAGTTACCTTTAATTTAATTCCGGATAGCTAAGCTCAACATAATTTAGTAAGCCCAACCGCTATGACTTAGAGGTCATGGTTGGTGGGGAGGAGACGGACCTCATAACAATGAGGAGAGAACCAATCAGCGTCCGTCATGCCCTCATAAACATGGGTCTTGCTCTTCAAGTTCCACTCACTGGAGCGTGAGGTGAGGCCTCACACTCACAGTAATACTGCCACAGTTCAGCCCCCCCCCCCGCAAGCACAGCTAGGTGAGTACACACACCCCAAGAAGCAGCCCGTAGCAGCTGTCTCGTTCCCAGGTACCTATTTACTGCTAGGTGAACAGGGCATCATGGGTGAAAGAACCTCTGGTCATCAGTTTCTGCCTCTGCCAGGGATCGAAACCGGGCCCTTAGGACTACGACCCCAGAGCGCTGTCCACTCAGCCGCGTGGCCCATATGTGTGTGGTTCCTCGTAACTCATGCCTCTTAGTTCTGGGACTAGCCTAGTGGCATACCTCTGAACTTTTTCCAGCTTCGCCTTGTGCTTGACAAGGTACGGGCTCCATGCTGGGGCCGCATACTCCAGGATTGGTCTTACATATGTGGTATACAAGGTTCTGAATGATTCCTTACACAGGTTCCTGAAGGCAGTTCTGATGTTAGTCAGTCTCGCATACGCCGCAGATGTTATTCTTTTAATGTGGGCTTCAGGAGACAGGGTTGGTGTGATATCAACTCCTAGATCTTTCTCTCTGTTTTGCAAAGAACTTCCTCTCCCATTCGGTATCCTGTGTCTGGTCTCCTCCGCCTAGTCTCATCACCTTACATTTACTTGGGTTGAACTTTAGTAGCCATTTGTTGGACCATTCCTCCAGTTTGTCTAGGTCACATTGTAGCCTTATACTATCTTCTGCCTTAATCCTCCTCATAATTTTTGCATCATCAGCAAACAATGAGAGGAATGATTCTATACTCTCTGGGAGATCATTTACATATATCAGAAACAGTATAGGTCCAAGGACTGATCCCTGCGGAACTCCACCTGTGACGTCTCGCCAATCTGAGGCTTCACCCCTCACAATGACTCGCTGTCTTCTGTTGGTTAGGTACTCCCTTATCCAGCTTCCCTTTCACTCCTGCCTGCAACTACAGCTTGTGCACTAGTCTCTTGTGTGGTACTGTGTCAAAGGCTTTCTGGCAACCCAAAAATATACAGTCTGCCCACCTCTCTCTTTCTTGCCTAATTTGTGTTGCCTGATCGTAGAATTCAATTAATCCTGTGAGGCAGGACTTGCCATCTCTGAACCCATGCTGATGTTGTTACAAAGTTCTTTCGTTCCAGATGTTCCACTGGTTACTTTCGCACACTCTTCTCCATCATCTTGCATGGTATGCAAGTTAAGGACTCTGGCCTGTAGTTAAGTGCCTCCTGTCTATTACACTTCTTGTATATTGGGAGTATATTGGCCATCTTCCAAATTTTGGGCAGTTCACCTGTTAGCAGGGATTTGTTGTACACCATGGAGAGTGGCTGGCACAGAGCTTCTGCTCCTTAATATCCACGGTGATATTCCATTCGGGCCTATAGCCTTTGTCCCATCCAACTCTAGCAGATGCTTCCTCACCTCCCCACTGGTAATCACAAACTCCTCTAGTGGTGTCTGGTTTGATATTTCCTCTGTTATCTCTGGGACTTCTTGCTCTACTGTGAAGACCTCCTGAAATTTATTATTGAGTTTTTTTCACACTTGTCGTTTGTAGTGAATCTGTCTGCCCTTATCCTCACTTTCATTATCTGTTCCTTCACTGTTGTTTTTCTCCTGATGTGGCTGTGCAGCAATTTAGGTTGAGTCTTTGCCTTTCTCGCTATGTCATTTTCAAATAGTCACTCTGCCTTTCTTCTCAACCTGATGTATTTATTCCTGGTGCTCTGGTATCTTTCTCTGCTCTCAAGTTTATTCCTGGTGCTCTGGTATCTTTCTCTGCTCTCAAGTTTATTCCTGGTGCTCTGGTATCTTTCTCTGCTCTCAAGTGTCCTGTTATTACTATAGTTTCTCCACGCCCTTGTACTTAGTTGCTTTGTTTGCTTACATCTCTGATTAAACCATGGTTTCTTTGCTGCATTTCATATTTTCCTCTTGGAGTATCTTCTTGAGTTATCTTGAGATGATTTCGGGGCTTTTTAGTGTCCCCGCGGCCCGGTCCTCGACCAGGCCTCCACCCCCAGGAAGCAGCCCGTGACAGCTGACTAATCCCAGGTACCTATTTACTGCTAGGTAACAGGGGCATTCAGGGTGAAAGAAACTTTGCCCATTTGTTTCTGCCTCGTGCGGGAATCGAACCCGCGCCACAGAATCACGAGTCCTGCGCGCTATCCACCAGGCTACGTGCCACCCTTAGGACGAACGAGTAGGACGAACTTGTCTGCTGCCTCCTTACACTTCTGTGTGATGTAGTCCGTAATTGCTTGGGCCGCCTTTCCTCTGAGCTCTGTTTCCCAAGCTATATCTGTTAGGAATTTCCTTATCTCCTCATAGTTTCTTTTCCGGAATGTCGGCCTTTTGTTTTCCGGGGTCTTCCTTGAGTACCTTAACCCTACTTCGACCAGGTACTCAAAAAACACCAGTACACTGTGATCACTCATTCCCACGGGGGCTTCAAAACCGTTTTCCCTTATGTCGGAGTCGTTCAGAGAGTCGTTCTGTACAATGTAACAACTCTTGTATATATCTCAAAAAAAAAAAAAAAAAAAAAAAAGACTAGGTCGAGACACCCTGGTCAGTCCGTCCTACATACAAAGACCCAAAAGTGATTCCATGCACCCGCCAAACCCCCAGCTGTTTATGAATGAAAAACGGTTTAAACAAGACTCACAACTGTTGACGGTCGAACACTTCCGGAACAAGTGCTTCACTGACGACTTGTGTTCGAACCACAACGCTGTAAATGCTTCACCCACGTACTACAAAAACAAATAATCGCCAACATACCCTAAACACCTAACCTAACCGATGCCTATATAGGCACAATATGCTAATATATTATAATATTAATTTATATTTGAGAAAATTCCGTTCTGAATAAACAGCATGTTAAAATTTATGAATGCGTCTGTGGGGTCGACCGCTGGATGGAATGGACTCGAGTCGAGGACGGGTTGTTCTTGTTCATCGTTGCTTCTCATTCTTGTGGGTCCCCTGACATGCTGACTTAAAAAGTTTTCTGTCGCACCTTCCAATAGTTTGGCTCTCCATGTTTCCTCACCTCCGTGTGGTTCCTTGTTTTCCCAGTTTATCCTGTGATTGAAGTCCCCCATGATGAGCAGATGGGAGAGATTTCTCCAGGCAGCAGAGGCTGCCCTCTCAATTATAGTGTTGACCGCCATGTTGTTTCTATCATACTCTTGCCTGGTTCTTCTGTCATTTGGTGGTGGGTTATATATCATTGCTACTACTAGCAGTGATATAGAACTAGGGGTGACATGATAAAGGTGGACAAGTGGGTGAATGGGCATATCAAAGGGGGTATTAATAGGGGTATTAAAAGTATCAACACAAGACAGAACACGAAACAATGATTATAAATTGGATAAGTTTAGGTTCAGGAAAGACTTGGGTAAATACCGGTTCGGTAACAGGGTTGTAGATATGTGGAAACAATTACTGCATAACGTGGTGGAGGTGGGGTCCCTCGATTGTTTCAAACGTGGGTTGGACATGTATATGAGTGGGATTGGGTGGTTATAAATAGGAGCTGCCTCGTATGGGTCAATAGGCCTTCTGCAGTTACCTTTGTTCTTATGTTTTTATGTACTACTCTTCGTTCTCTCATCATCATGGTGCCTGTTATGAAGCCTTTGAACCCCTCACAGTGCAGACTAACCATCTCGAAACTCCATTCCTTTCTCATCAGTATAGGGCCACTCCGCCTCCTTCCCGCTTTCCTTATTACAGTGTAGTCATGGGGGGGAAACACTGCATTCATTATGATTCCTGATAGTTTTGTTTCCATGAGTCCAATTACATGCGGGTTCACGTCTTGTGCTCTTAGTGTCAGTATAGTGTAAGGCCGCCACAACCATCTCCATCCACTGTCATTATCAACACAATTATCACCATCACCACCACAATTATGATCCCAATTACACACACACACACACACACACACACACACACACACACACACACACACACACACCCACACCCACACCCACCACCCACACACACACACACACACACCACACACCACACACACACCACACACACACACACACACACACACACACACACACACACACACACACACACACACACACACACACACACACACACACACACACACACACACACACACACACTGAAATACATGAGCAGTTGTGGAGAATATAATGAGGTTCTTCCCTTGTGTGTCCAACAGACCTGCAGTTGGCGGCTGAGCTGGGCAAGACCCTGCTGGAGAGGAACCGGGAGCTGGAGTCCAACATAAAGCACCAGCACGCCGTCATAGAGGACCAGCTCCAGGAGATCGAGGTGAGTGCCCCCCCCCTCCCCCCAGGACGGTGGTTATCTTGAGGTTATCTTGAGATGATTTCGGGGCTTTTTAGTGTCCCCGCGGCCCGGTCCTCGACCAGGCCTCCACCCCCAGGAAGCAGCCCGTGACAGCTGACTAACACCCAGGTACCTATTTTACTGCTAGGTAACAGGGGGCATAGGGTGAAAGAAACTCTGCTCATTGTTTCTCGCCGGCGCCTGGGATCGACCCCAGGACCACAGGATCACAAGTCCCGCGTGCTGTCCGCTCGGCCGACCGGCTCCCCTATAACCCCCCGGTGGGTTATATATCTGTGATGTGATGTTCTCGGCCGGGTACGGGATCACCGTAGCCCGTGCTACCTGGACACTTCGTTCTGAGTACCTAAATTTGAAACAGTAGTAGTTCTCGGCCTCTCTGATGTGGGACAATGCTTTAGCCGTGCCTTGGGATCGAACTCGCTCGTCCCTGGGCTCTATTGGTATGTGTTTGTTATTTGTTCGTCAAAGTCGAGCTATTAGCTCTTGGACCCCGCCTTTCTATACCAACGGTTGTCTAATGTCCTGACTTACTTTCCTCTATATCCACTCCATATTTGTCTAACACATTCCCAGGATACAGTCAGTAGCAGCTGTCTAGCTCAAAGGGACCTGTTTACTGCTAGGTGAACAGGGGCATCGGGTAAAAGAATCTCTCCCCATTTGTTTCTGCTTCAGCCAGGAATCGAACCCGGCCCTTTGAACTATGACTCCCGGACGCTGTCCGCTCGGCAGCTGTTTACAGTTTAAGTTTACTTACCCAGTAACCTGGAGCCAGATTCACGAAGCAGTTACACAAGCACTTACGAACCTGGGGCCAGATGCACGAAGCAGTTACGCAAGCACTTACGAACGTGTCCATTTTTCCTCAATCTTTGGCGGCTTTGTTTACAATTATTAAACAGTTAATGAGCTCGGAAGCACCAGGAGGCTGTTTATAACAATAACAACAGTTGATTGGCAAGTTTTCATGCTTGTAAACTGTTTAATAAATGTAACCAAAGCCGTCAAAGATTGAGGAAAGATGTACACGTTCGTAAGTCCTTGCGTAACTGTTTCGTGAATCTGGCCCCAGGTTCGTAAGCACTTGCGTAACTGCTTCGTGAATCTGGCCCCAGGTTCGTAAGTCCTTGAGTAACTGCTTCGTGAATCTGGCCCCAGGTTCGTAAGCACTTGCGTAACTGCTTCGTGAATCTGGCCCCAGGTTCGTAAACACTTGCGTAACTGCTTCGTGAATCTGGCCCCAGGTTCGTAAACACTTGCGTAACTGCTTCGTGAATCTGGCCCCAGGTTCGTAAACACTTGCGTAACTGCTTCGTGAATCTGGCCCCAGGTTCGTAAACACTTGCGTAACTGCTTCGTGAATCTGGCCCCAGGTTCGTAAACACTTGCGTAACTGCTTCGTGAATCTGGCCCCAGGTTCGTAAGCACTTGCGTAACTGATTCGTGAATCTGGCCCCAGGTTCGTAAACACTTGCGTAACTGATTCGTGAATCTGGCCCCAGGTTCGTAAGCACTTGCGTAACTGATTCGTGAATCTGGCCCCAGGTTCGTAAACACTTGCGTAACTGCTTCGTGAATCTGGCCCCAGGTTCTTTATTTTAAACACTGTGTTTGGGAGCCTTAATGCCTCGTCTTAGATAATCCCGCCCCGAGGCATTGGTAAGTTACTGAGAACTGAGAGTAACTGACAGTAATAATCATGAAAGGAAAAGACGGGTCAACGCTGGTGGTGCAGGTGTACACATGTGCAGGTGTACACACGTGGTGCTGGTGTACGCACAATAAGAGTGTCGAGGAGTCAGGTCACCAGTTTCATGGAGACCAATGACCTTCACAACCCAGGCCAACATGGATTTCGAGGGGAAGATCGTGCCTCTCACAGCTACTTGAGCACTACGACAAAGTCACTGAGGCATTAGAAGAGAAACAGAATGCTGATGTGATATACACGGACTTCGCAAAGGCTTTCGATAAATGTGACCATGGAGTGATAGCACACAAAATGAGGTCAATGGGAATAACTGGTAAAGTAGGACGCTGGATACTCAGTTTTCAGTCAAACAGAACACAAAGAGTAACAGTCAACCATATAAAATCGAGTCCGAGCGCAGTTAATAGCTCTGTACCTCAGGGTACAGTCCTTGCACCGCTGCTTTTCCTTATTCTCATATCAGATATAGACAAAAATACAAGTCACAGCTTCGTATCATCCTTTGCAGATGACACAAAAATCAGTATGAAATCAGTATGTCTCCGCTGAAGACATTGAAAAACTTCAAGCTGATATTAATAAAGTTTTCAACTGGGCAGCAGAAAATAACATGATGTTTAACAGTGATAAATTCCAGGTACTCAGGTATGGCAAAAATGAGGACCTTAAACATAATACAGGGTACAAAACACAATCAAATCTGCCCATAGTAGGAAAGCAACATGTAAAGGATTTGGGAATAATAATGTCTGACGACCTAACGTTTAGGGAGCATAACCAAGCAAATATTGCGTCAGCCAGAAAAATGATAGGATGGATTACGAGAACTTTGAAATCCAGGGATCCCATCACAATGGTTGTACTCTTCAAGTCACTTGTGTTGTCCCATCTTGAGTACTGCTCAGTACTCACTTTCCCCCTTCAGAGCAGGAGAGATTGCTGAAATAGAGGGAATACAGAGAACATATACGGCACGCATAGACGAGATAAAGCACCTAAATTATTGGGATCGTCTCAAAGCTCTCCAAATGTACTCTCTAGAAAGGAGACGAGAGAGATACCAAATAATATACACGTGGAAAATACTGGAGGGCCAGATCCCAAATCTACATAGTAAAATAACAACGTACTGGAGTGAACGATATGGAAGAAAATGCAGAATAGAACCAGTGAAGAGCAGAGGTGCCATAGGCACAATCAGAGAACACTGTATAAACATCAGAGGTCCGCGGTTGTTCAACGTCCTCCCAGCGAGCATAAGAAATATTGCCGGAACAACCGTGGACATCTTCAAGAGGAAACTAGATTGTTTTCTCCAAGGAGTGCCGGACCAACCGGGCTGTGGTGGGTATGTGGGCCTGCGGGCCGCTCCAAGCAACAGCCTGGTGGACCAAACTCTCACAAGTCAAGGCCGGCTTGGTGAGTAGAAGAACTCCCAGAACCCCATCAAGCAGGTATATGTGGGCCTGCGGGCCGCTCCAAGCAACAGCCTGGTGGACCAAACTACCACTAGAGGGACTCCCTACCACTAGAGGGACTCCCTACCACTAGAGGGACTCCCTACCACTAGAGGGACTC